GGCGGCAGCGGCTGCAGGGAAGAGACCGGGGTGGGGGTCAGGGGCAGGGCCCAGCCAAGGGCAGCCCCCCCCCACATGCGCCTGGAGCTGGGGGCCCCCAGAGGCCCTGGGCATCTGCGGCCGCTCTCCTCCCCCTCCCCTGAGGAGCTCCCGAGCTCCCCTCCCTACTCGGGGCTGCTGCCGGGGCCCTGCCCGGAGGCTTCCCGGCTGTTGGGGCTCGTCCGCCGGAGGACATGCTCTGTCCGGAGGCCTTGCAGCCTCTCAAGCAGCTCCTGGATGAAGCCCTGCGGTGGGGAAGAAGAAGAAGAGGCAGCGTGTCTGGCCTGCACTCCCCCCCCAGGCCTGTAGCAACAGCGGGGCATCTCGGGGCCTGGCCCCCCAACTCACTCACAAGGCCCCCCAACTTCCCATCCACCCACAGGCCCCCCTTCCAACTTTTTATTTTATTTGTGGTGCTCCCTTGGGTGCATGTGTGTGTGTGTGGGGGGGTGCCTGTGCAGGGTGCCCCCAAACTTATTTCACGCCCCCCCGATTTAAAAAATCCTGGCTACAGACCTGAGTGCCCCCCTCCCCAAGGACCCGGCTGGCACAAGCAGCGCAGGGGAGGCCCGGGGGAGCCCCCTTCCTCCCCACGCCTGCCCCAAGGGATGCAGCCCTCAGCCAGGCCCAGAACAGGTCACATGCCAGCACCCAGCAGGGAGGGGGCAACAGAGGGGCTGGATTCCCTCTGGAAGACCCAGCTGGGAGCGGAAGGCCAAGGACCGTGGGCGGCAGCAGCAGCCCCCCCCCCACGTTGTCAGGCGAGGGGCAGTGAGGGCGGGAACCTTGGGGGGGGGAGGGAGCAGCCGTCCTCCGGGGATGCTCCAGAGCAACACCCACCTCTGCACTGCTGCACGACTCCAAGAGGCCCTGGAAGGAGACAGGAATGAAGAGGAAGAGATGGGATTCATACCCTCTGGCCCTTCACTACCCCCAAGGGAGTCTCAGAGCAGCTGACAAACTCCTTTCCCTTCCCCTCCCCTCCCCACAACAGGCAGGCGGTGCTGAGAGAGCTCTTGACAGAAACGGCTCTTTTTCAAGGACAGCTCTTACAACTACACATGCTAAGTCACTCAGTTCTTGCATCTCTTTGTTAGGTCTTTTATTATCTGTGTGCTTTTGTTGTTCAGTCGCACAGTCGAGTCCAACTCTTCTCGACCCCGTGGACCACATCATGCCAGGCCCTCCTGTCCTCCACCGTCCTCCGGTGTTCGCTCAACTTCATGTTCGTTGCCTCGATATCACTGCCTAACCATCTCATCCTTTGCCGTTTCCTTCTTCTTTGCTCACGAGACTCCACGGCTCAGAGGGAGCATTGGGTGCAAGCGAAGTGCCTATGGGGACAGCAGCCGCCTTGAGCAGTGTTCCCTCTAAGCTGAGTCAGTGTGAGGTAGCTCATAGTTTTTCAGCCTCCGGTTCATACCTTTTTCTCTTAGCTCAGAAAGGATGGCTCCAGAGCAAAGTAATTCATGCAGCAGCCAAATGGCTCACTCACACCTTTAAGGGCAGTCGCTCACCAAGTAGAATTTTTGCTCACGAGACTCCACGGCTCAGAGGGAGCGCTGGGTGCAAAGCGAAGCGCCTACGGGGTCAGCAGCCGCCTTGAGCAGTGTTCCCGCTAAGCTGAGTGAGTGTGAGCTATAGCTCGCAGTTTTTTAGCCTCTGGCTCACACCTTTTTTAGTTGGCTCAGGCAGGATGGGGCTCCAGAGCAAATTGATTCATGCACCAGCCAAACCGCTCATGGCTCACAGCTTTCATGCCCAGAGCTCACAAAGTGGAATCTTTGCTCACAGGACTCTGCAGCTTAGACGGAGCCTTGGTCCCAGCGCCTTTGGGGTGCCCGGGGGGGGGGAGAGCAGCAGGAGGAGGAGGCCCAGGTCAGCCACCCACCTGCAGCTTGGTGGCCCGCTCCTCGTCCGTGGCCATCTCCAGCAGATCGTCGATGTTCACCTCGTCCGGCATCTCTGCCTCCTGCAACCAGAGGGGGCGGTCAGGCGGGCCCTTCCCTTCAAGGCCTCTGGGGTGCCAGGAGACTGTGCCCAGGCAAAGGGGGGGGGGGGGGGGAGAAGCCAGGCAGGAAGCCAGACCCACACTGGCACCCGTCTCTGTTCTCCCGGGCCCTGAAATCGTGGGCAGAGCTGGAGGCTCTCGGAGGAAGGTGCGGAGGCAGAAACGAGAGGCCCTCCCCCTCTGAAATGCCCCTTCGGGGTCCCAACCGCTGCCAACGCCTCCCCTCGGCTCTCCCAGCCAGACTGGCAGGTTCCGGGTGCAGCTGGGTCTCCTCTGGAGCAGCCCCGAACCGGCTTTGGACGGAAGGGCCCCCCAGAGTCCGTCTCGTCTGCTCAGAGTGGGGCCCCAAGGAGAGCTCTTTCACATCACTGGCAGTTTCTTCCTTCTAACGGGAGATGCTACTGAAGACCAGTGTTCCCTCTCAGCTGAGTGGGTGTGAGCCAGCTCACCGTTCTTTAGCCTCCGGCTCACACATTTTTTGACCTAGCTCAGGGAGGAGGGCTCCAGAGCACACTGATCCATGCAGCGGCCAAATCGCCCGCTCACAACTTTAATGCCCGTAGCTCACAAGGTAGAATTTCTGCTCACGGGACTCCGCAGCTGAGAGGGACTGAACCGGGGATCTTCCATAGGCCAAGCGGAGGCTCTGCCACTGAGCCAGGGCCCCTCCCCTCTTCCGTGACCCCTGGGCCAGCAGAGGGTTTGCGGGGAGGTGTGTGCGTGCCCTGAGCTTGTGCCAGCACTCAGTCACTATCCCTGAGCTTGTGCCAGCGCTCAGTCACTTTTAAAGAAAACCCCCCCCAAAAAAAACCCCACCTCTCCTCGGGAGCGCCTTCCCCCCCCCTCCGGCTAGAAAGAGGTTTTGCTGGGGCAAGCGGAGGGGGACTGCTGCAGGGACAGCCGAGTTGGCCGTGGCAGGGGGGGCTCCCTCATCCACCCGGGAGGAAGAACCTCCTCCTCCCGGGCAGACAGAGTTGCGGATGGGGAAGGGGGTCTCTGTGTGTGCAGGGCTGACGTGTTCCGCAGTGGGGTGGGGAGTCAGCCAGCACCCCCAGTCCAGATGCTCCTGGGGCCGGAATGTAGCCCATGCCAGACTCTGCAGGAAACATCTGCGGCCTCCCTTTGGCACCACCAGGGGAGAGGCTGGGCTGGGCGGCCTCCCCCATCAGACTCCCCGGGGACGGCGGGAGAGAGGCAGAGAGGCGGCTGGGAAGGGCTTTCCTTTCATGGCAGGGCTGAGGCGCCTCTTCCACTCCGGACCTCCCTCCCTCCCTTGGCCTGAGGAATCTGTCCTGGGGGGGGAGGGGGGAGCAGGCCAGGGAGTCTCGGCCGCTCAGCAGCCAGCCTGAAAGGGCAGCCCAGCCACCCAAGGGAAGGGGGCTGAAAGCCACACACACCTTGACATTCCCCCCCCTCTGGCTCAGGGCCCCTCTGGACAGGTAGCCCCTCCCTGGCAGAGGAGGCCCATCGGCAGCCATCAACCCCAACCCCCCACGGAGGCATCGCCCACCACTGGGGCCCGTGGCTGGGAGGAGCCCCCAGCTGCACTGCCGGCCTTTGGCGTGAGCCAGCCGGGCACCTGCAGGGGGGTCAAAAGTGGCCCAGGCTGGGCCATGGGAACCTGGTCCCGCTGCCCCCTACGACAGAGAGGGCCCAGCACCGGGAGGGGGGGGTTAGCACGGGTGGCATTCCAGGGCGCAGCCGGGCTCTTCTGGGCCAGCAAAGGAACAGGAGGAGGCGTGTGTGTGGCACCTCGAAGAGACCGGCAGGCTTTTGCTGAGGCACAGACTGGCATGGGGGCCGGAACCGTCTGCCAGATCCAAGTCTTGGGAGCCCCTTCATCCCGCCACGAGGAGGACACAGACAGGATATGGTGGGAGGATGGCGAAGATCTGCCCAGAAGGAACAGATTGGGAGGGAGGGGAGGGATGAGGGGAAGAGCTCCTCCGGCATCCTGTGGGGTGTGTGTGTGTGTGTGTGTGTGGCGATTCCAGGGCGCAGCCGGGCTCTTCTGGGGCAGCAAAGGAACAGGAGGAGGCATGTGTGTGGCACCTCGAAGAGGCTTTTGCTGAGGCACAGACTGGCACGGGGCTGGAACCGTCTGCCAGATCCAAGTCTTGGGAGCCCCTTCATCCCGCCACGAGGAGGACACAGACAGGATATGGTGGGAGGATGGCGAAGATCTGCCCAGAAGGAACAGATTGGGAGGGAGGGGAGGGATGAGGGGAAGAGCTCCTCCGGCATCCTGTGGGGTGTGTGTGTGTGTGTGTGTGTGGCGGCCAGGGCCCCCGGCTGGAAAGGGAGGGGGGCAGCCAGTGCCTGCACAGGCCCCGCTGGGGTATTGCTCCTTCCCAGGGTGGGCGGCCTGAGGACCACGGGGGTGGGGTGGGGGGAACACACAATCACGCAGCCCCATTCATGCCTCTACTGACCCACCCCCGGGGGGGGGGGGCAGGCCAGGGCCCCCGGCTGGAAAGGGAGGGGGGCAGCCAGTGCCTGCACAGGCCCCGCTGGGGTATTGCTCCTTCCCAGGGTGGGCGGCCTGAGGACCACGGGGGGGGGGTGGGGGGAACACACAATCACGCAGCCCCATTCATGCCTCTACT